CTGCTCCCATTCGTGCTGTTTTCAGTGGAGCAGCTTCGGGCCCTTTGTCCAAGGGCCTCTAGGAGATCCAGAACCAAACTAACGTACAAAGCCAAATGCATTCCACATCTTCCCCGCCCCCAATGGCAGTGTGCTGGCAATGGCCACACAGCCCCGTGTCCTGGGTACACGACGGCTATGCTCTCATTCCACATCTTCCCCGCCTCCAATGGCAGTGTGCTGGCAATGGCCACACAGCCCCGTGTCCTGGGTACACGACGGCTATGCTCTCATTCCACATCTTCCCCGCCTCCAATGGCAGTGTGCTGGCAATGGCCACACAGCCCCGTGTCCTGGGTACACGACGGCTATGCTCTCATTCCACATCTTCCCCGCCTCCAATGGCAGTGTGCTGGCAATGGCCACACAGCCCCGTGTCCTGGGTACACGACGGCTATGCTCTCATTCCACATCTTCCCCGCCTCCAATGGCAGTGTGCTGGCAATGGCCACACAGCCCCGTGTCCTGGGTACACGACGGCTATGCTCTCATTCCACATCTTCCCCGCCTCCAATGGCAGTGTGCTGGCAATGGCCACACAGCCCCGTGTCCTGGGTACACGACGGCTATGCTCTCATTCCACATCTTCCCCGCCTCCAATGGCAGTGTGCTGGCAATGGCCACACAGCCCCGTGTCCTGGGTACACGACGGCTATGCTCTCATTCCACATCTTCCCCGCCTCCAATGGCAGTGTGCTGGCAATGGCCACACAGCCCCGTGTCCTGGGTACACGACGGCTATGCTCTCATTCCACATCTTCCCCGCCTCCAATGGCAGTGTGCTGGCAATGGCCACACAGCCCCGTGTCCTGGGTACACGACGGCTATGCTCTCATTCCACATCTTCCCCGCCTCCAATGGCAGTGTGCTGGCAATGGCCACACAGCCCCGTGTCCTGGGTACACGACGGCTATGCTCTCATTCCACATCTTCCCCGCCTCCAATGGCAGTGTGCTGGCAATGGCCACACAGCCCCGTGTCCTGGGTACACGACGGCTATGCTCTCATTCCACATCTTCCCCGCCTCCAATGGCAGTGTGCTGGCAATGGCCACACAGCCCCGTGTCCTGGGTACACGACGGCTATGCTCTCATTCCACATCTTCCCCGCCTCCAATGGCAGTGTGCTGGCAATGGCCACACAGCCCCGTGTCCTGGGTACACGACGGCTATGCTCTCATTCCACATCTTCCCCGCCTCCAATGGCAGTGTGCTGGCAATGGCCACACAGCCCCGTGTCCTGGGTACACGACGGCTATGCTCTCATTCCACATCTTCCCCGCCTCCAATGGCAGTGTGCTGGCAATGGCCACACAGCCCCGTGTCCTGGGTACACGACGGCTATGCTCTCATTCCACATCTTCCCCGCCTCCAATGGCAGTGTGCTGGCAATGGCCACACAGCCCCGTGTCCTGGGTACACGACGGCTATGCTCTCATTCCACATCTTCCCCGCCTCCAATGGCAGTGTGCTGGCAATGGCCACACAGCCCCGTGTCCTGGGTACACGACGGCTATGCTCTCATTCCACATCTTCCCCGCCTCCAATGGCAGTGTGCTGGCAATGGCCACACAGCCCCGTGTCCTGGGTACACGACGGCTATGCTCTCATTCCACATCTTCCCCGCCTCCAATGGCAGTGTGCTGGCAATGGCCACACAGCCCCGTGTCCTGGGTACACGACGGCTATGCTCTCATTCCACATCTTCCCCGCCTCCAATGGCAGTGTGCTGGCAATGGCCACACAGCCCCGTGTCCTGGGTACACGACGGCTATGCTCTCATTCCACATCTTCCCCGCCTCCAATGGCAGTGTGCTGGCAATGGCCACACAGCCCCGTGTCCTGGGTACACGACGGCTATGCTCTCATTCCACATCTTCCCCGCCTCCAATGGCAGTGTGCTGGCAATGGCCACACAGCCCCGTGTCCTGGGTACACGACGGCTATGCTCTCATTCCACATCTTCCCCGCCTCCAATGGCAGTGTGCTGGCAATGGCCACACAGCCCCGTGTCCTGGGTACACGACGGCTATGCTCTCATTCCACATCTTCCCCGCCTCCAATGGCAGTGTGCTGGCAATGGCCACACAGCCCCGTGTCCTGGGTACACGACGGCTATGCTCTCATTCCACATCTTCCCCGCCTCCAATGGCAGTGTGCTGGCAATGGCCACACAGCCCCGTGTCCTGGGTACACGACGGCTATGCTCTCATTCCACATCTTCCCCGCCTCCAATGGCAGTGTGCTGGCAATGGCCACACAGCCCCGTGTCCTGGGTACACGACGGCTATGCTC